TGAGGATTTAAGGGTCCTGCCCTGGGGTGGGGGTGGGGTGGGGTGGGGGTGGGGGTGGGGTTTTCATGATAAAAGGGCTACACCGAATGATTGCTGAATATATTCAACAGACAAAGGGATAGAATTTCGGTGCACTTTGGATATATATGGAAACAATTATGTTGTTTGAATATATGAAGCTTTACAGAAACCTATTTAGATGGTTTACTCTATGGCAATATTATGTACCCCGTGGTGCCGTCATCTAGCGGTGACTAGCTCTAGCACTATGGGTTTCGAGGGCTTTGGACAAGTTCCATTTTCCGTATCCATCACATTTCGTATCGCCATGGTCTTTTGTAACTATGATCAATTTCATCTTTGTTTCAAACTCAATAAGTATGTATTTTCGAACTATAGCCTGTGCCATCATGGTGCACCTTTTAACCACGACAGGTGACTAGCTCATTGAAAGATTTCTTTGATGTTGTTGTGCTCTGTCAGTTTAAGTATTTGAAGCTGCCGTACCAACAACATGTTGTGGTCAGTTTTAATTGTATACTATAAACTCAACCGACTTTTCATTTCATGAAAATGCTGCCACTGTGTATACTGGTTTGATCAGTAGCTCAGGATCACGCGGATGGATTGACGTCGTTATTCAATTCGAATCTAAACATTTTGAACATGTGACGACTGCACCAGCTCGGTTTGCTCTTGGCATTGGTCCTGCTGTTCAAGCAAGCGGAAAAGATTTCACAACTCAAGAATATGTAAATCTATGTGTTGGCAATCTGTCTTTGGGCGCCCAAGTAGTAAGGTTTTTCGAAGAACAGTACAGATTCACAATTAAATTAACATTTTAACTCAGGTGTTGGGCATTTGTTTCTCGTTTCGATTTTCGTAAACACACTATTCCATCAGAAAGCTAGCTGTGTTACATTCTGATCATTGCACTCATAACTACCTTGTGGTTCAATTGTGTTTGCTTCCACAGAAAACGTACTATACATATTCTGCACACTGTCATTATTCAGGGACTCGGTATTCCAATAAACGATCAGAAGGTTTTCATGTAGTTTAGAATTAAGAACACATATTGTCTTCACCGGTATCTAATACCAAAGCGGTTTGTAATAAACCATCAAGAAAACTCCAGAGAAATATTAACAGTTCAACAATTTTATTACATAGTTCGTCGGTATTACACGGTGGGTTGCTACTGGTGTAACGCAGTTTGTAATAACCCGTTATGTAATAAAATCAACTAAATCCGAAATGTTTTGGACTCTGAAAATTTTATTACAAAGTGCGTTAAGATGTGCAAAATCTTATAACATTTCGCTACTCAACCCGGTATGTAATACCAACGCGGTTTTGTAATAAACCATCAGAAAACTCCGAAATATCAACAGTTCATAAGATGGAACGGGTTTAAGCTGAAGTTTACCCTCAATTAAGGGGTAGAACACATATTGTCCTGACCGGAAGGAATATCTTCAACTTTGATTTTCAGTCATTTTTCCTGCCTTAGGCAAAAGTACCAACTCGCTTTGTAATAAAATCAACTAAGTCCGAAATGTTTTTGGACTCTGAAAATTTTATTACATAGTGCGTTAAGATGTGCAAAATCTTATTACATTTCGCTACTCAACCCGGTTTGTAATAAACCATCAGAAAACTCCGAAATATCAACAGTTCATAAGATGGAACGGGTTTAAGCTGAAGTTTACACTCAATTAAGGGGTAGAACACATATTGTCCTGACCGGAAGGAATATCTTCAACTTTGATTTTCAGTCATTTTCCTGCCTTAGGCAAAAGTACCAACTCGCTTTGTAATAAAATCGCGTAAGTGCGAAATGTTTTGGACTCTGAAAATTTTATTACATAGTTCGTCGGTATTACACAGTGGGTTGCTACTGGTGTAACGCAGTTTGTAATAACCCGTTATGTAATAAAATCAACTAAGTCCGAAATGTTTTGGACTCTGAAAATTTTATTACAAAGTGCGTTAAGATGTGCAAAATCTTATTATATTTCGCTACTCAACCCGGTATGTATATACCAACCCGGTTTGTAATAAACCATCAGAAAACTCCGAAATATCAACAGTTCATAAGATGGAACGAGTTTAAGCTGAAGTTTACACTTAATTAAGGGTGTAGAACACATATTGTCCTGACCGGAAGGAATATCTTCAACTTTGATTTTCAGTCATTTTCCAGCCTTAGGCAAAGTACCAACTCGCTTTGTAATAAAATCAACTAAGTCCGAAATGTTTTTGGACTCTGAAAATTTTATTACATAGTGCGTTAAGATGTGCAAAATCTTATTACTTTCGCTACTCAACCCGGTTTGTAATAAACCATCAGAAAACTCCGAAATATCAACAGTTCATATGATGGAACGGGTTTAAGCTGAAGTTTACACTTAATTCAGGGGGTAGAACACATATTGTCCTGACCGGAAGGAATATCTTCAACTTTGATTTTCAGTCATTTTCCTGCCTTAGGCAAAAGTACCAACTCGCTTTGTAATAAAATCAACTAAGTCCGAAATGTTTTGGACTCTGAAAATTTTATTACATAGTGCGTTAAGATAATGCAAAATCTTATCACATTTCGCTACTCAACCCGGTTTGTAATAAACCATCAGAAAACTCCGAAATATCAACAGTTCATAAGATGGAACGGGTTTAAGCTGAAGTTTACACTTAATTAAGGGGGTAGAACACATATTATCCTGACCGGAAGGAATATCTTCAACTTTGATTTTCAGTCATTTTCCAGCCTTAGGCAAAAGTACCAACTCGCTTTGTAATAAAATCGCCTAAGTCCGAAATGTTTTTGGACTCTGAAAATTTTATTACATAGTGCGTCGTTATTACATAGTGGGTTGCTACTGGTGTAACGCAGTTTGTAATAACCCGTTATGTAATAAAATCACCTAACTCCGAAATGTTTTGGACTCTGAAAATTTTATTACAAAGTGCGTTAAGATGTGCAAAATCTTATTATATTTCGCTACTCAACCCGGTATGTAATACCAACCCGGTTTGTAATAAACCATCAGAGAAAACTCCGAAATATCAACAGTTCATAAGATGGAACGAGTTTAAGCTGAAGTTTACACTTAATTAAAGGGGTAGAACACATATTGTCCCTGACCGGAAGGAATATCTTCAACTTTGATTTTCAGTCATTTTCCAGCCTTAGGCAAAAGTACCAACTCGCTCTGTAATAAAAATCGCCTTAGTCCGAAATGTTTTTGGACTCCTGAAAATTTTATTACATAGTGCGTTGTTATTACATAAGTGGGTTGCTACTGGTGTAACGCAGTTTGTAATAACCCGTTATGTAATAAAATCACCTAACTCCGAAATGTTTTGGACTCTGAAAATTTTATTACAAAGTGCGTTAAGATGTGCAAAATCTTATTATATTTCGCTACTCAACCCGGTATGTAATACCAACCCGGTTTTGTAATAAACCATCAAAACTCCGAAATATCAACAGTTCATAAGATGGAACGAGTTTAAGCTGAAGTTTACACTTAATTAAGGGGGGTAGAACACATATTGTCCTGACCGGAAGGAATATCTTCAACTTTGATTTTCAGTCATTTTCCAGCCTTAGGCAAAAAGTACCAACTCGCTTTGTAATAAAATCAACTAAGTCCGAAATGTTTTGGACTCTGAAAATTTTATTACAAAAGTGCGTTGTTATTACATAGTGGGTTGCTACTGGTGTAACGCAGTTTGTAATAACCCGTTATGTAATAAAATCGCCTAAGTCCGAAATGTTTTGGACTCTGAAAATGTTATTACAAAGTGCGTTGTTATTACATAGTGGGTTGCTACAAGGCACCCATTGACAGCTGGGTGGATTGGGACACATAGTCACAGTACTTTGTCCAAATTCACTGCACGTTGCTGTACCCTCAACTAGGTGTTTGCACGTATTCATGTGGCCACCATCTGGTCATATACCAACGGATTCGTGGGTTCTTTTAAGTGCACAGGGTTGTGTACTGTACATTAGGGGTTGTGACAACACTGAAAGGGTGAGAGTGAGTGGAGTGAGTTAAAATTTATGGTCACAAAAGTGAGAAGAGACCTGATCATTGGATACTGTCTTGTGCTAATGCAGGGCGTGCAGTTCATGCTTGATGTGAGATTTGTGTTGTGATTCGGGGTTTGTGTTGAAATGTAAAGCCACGTTATCAGTTATAGTTTGGCATGAAATGCATGTGGATCCGGCCAGTGAAGTACTGGCTCAAAGATGGCTTGAAGGAGCAAACAGGTCATTGGATCCCTCCCTCTGCAAGCAGTCTGCGTTCTGCTGTTTATTTTGTTGACAGTTACATAGACAGATTCTTTAATACAAATGCATTCAATCGGTGATTTACAATATGATTAGGTTGTCAGACAAAACATCCACTTGCACAGTTTGAGATCGATTGGATCATTGGATGATGAGATATTTACCAAAAAACGGGTCCACATGCATTTCATGCCAAACTATAGGTACGTCAACCTCAACGATACCTAAATGAAAGATTTAGTTAAATAAATTAGATCCCTCTATTTAGTTGGTAGTTTATGGTTACAGAATATACATCAATACATTTGAATCGATTCATTTACAAAACAGATATCGTCCGAGGGAAAACCAATTTCAGTAAAATCAGACCGTAGTGCTCGCTGCTGTTTTCCAGTGTGGCGGCCGGGACTCCAACTTCTAATAAACCTTGTCAGTCTTGTTTTCAGGAAGAGTCAAACACTTCTTTTCAATGAATAAATAGCTTTTTATTCATGGGTATAAATGTACTTCAGCACAATGCTCTTTCTAATAAGTAGATCCCTCTCAAGCTTAAGGTTTATGTGCATGGACCAGTGTTAGGGCAATATAAGTAGAACTTTTGGGCTGAATTTCCTGCCCTTGGCATGAAACTGATCTGTAGACTGCCAAAGTCAGAATGACCCAACATGGGTCTCACCGTATTTATAGGTGTGAGAAAATGGTCACATGTCAGTTCTAGACCAATCAAATTACGAGATATTACGTCCCGTTACGTCCTTATTCTTTTGAGGGATCTACTTTCACAACATGAAACCACTGAAATAAAGAGGAAGGCGAATTATCTCAGGAGGTAATCAGGTAGGAAAATGACTATTTTTACCAACCAATTAATTATGTGTAATTAATTCATTAAATGCCTCCCAGTATCATAAGATCAACAATTGCGTCTCTCTACGTCTTGCTACGTCCTTGCTGCCTGCTGAGGGACGTAATATCAACAAGCAGCATCGGCTGGGAATTATGATGGACAATTCAAAGAGGAAGATTACAGATGTCAGGAGGCAGTTGGAGTTTATCTGACACATAAGATGTTTAAAACATGACTCAGCCCCTTATACAATTTGACAGTGGCACTGGAAGTCATATTTATGAAAAACACGTTCATAAATAATGATGCTGAACATTGCGCATGAATACAACAGTGAGAATCACATAGTTCCCGTTGTCAGAATTAACATCGGCTTTGAAACATGACCTGATACATCATCAAGTACAATTCTGGGTTCTTCTACGTAGTTCACAAGATTACATAAACTTTACAATGCAAAACACTAATCTGAGTCAAAAGTAGCGGTAACCCCGTTGCGAAATAGACTGGCTGTCACAAAGTTAAAAGGCGGGCGTCACCAAAAACAAATAGTTCGACCCTGATCACAAATTCACCAAATGCATAATTAACGAGTGTTAAGGGATTACGATCAGTTTGTCGAAGGACAAGGTAAGATTAATCCATATCTGATAGTTAGTTTTTCGTAACTGGACGCTTAGAGCGTCTGACAGGCGACGTTGTTGACATTGTGTCTTACAAAGTACAACTGTGTTCTAAAACAAATAGCGTAATGTGATGGTACTAGCTTAAGATGTTTTACGAATGCAATATATGTTATAATGCTCAGAACAACATGCTACGATCTTTTGCTAGATTTCTTACCAAAACAGATTTCAAAACACTGAATTACGTGAAAACGATGTTGCCAATAATACTCGTATATAGCTGCAAAACTAATTACACGATAATTATAATAATAATTTCTGCACTGCCATAAACAATCAAAAATACAGATGGGAAATACCTAACAGATATATGTCATGATGCCTAATCCTTTACAAGCTTTTATAACTTATAAATTTCGCTGCAATTAAAATGCAGGAGTATTATCTAAATCTTCTTGATGGCCATCACACCAGAAACCTGTGGACAGCCTATGGACTTCTCAGCAAGGCCGAATTTAACTGTGTAAATATCCGGTCCTTTCTAAATTACCCCTTGATTTGTAGAACCCTGACTTCCATCTCTAATCTAATTCCCTGGTTTCATCAACTTGTTGCCTAGTTATTTTAATGACGTTGCCACTGTATTTACTTTATTTATATTCTGTATACATACATTCCCTCCTCCTCATGTCAATTCTTTTTTGGTAACGGTGCAAGAATCTGTTTCGAAATTCGTGAAATAAAAGAAGTGACTATCCAGAAAATGGCCATTATTGCAATTGTCCTGCTTCCATTGGCCAGACTAGGCTTTTCGCGAGGTCGCTTCATTGTCAGAATAACTTGCCAGTTAAACAGCATAAAACAGACTCTGTTTTGCAGTCGACCTGACCCCACTTCAAATTTGTCACATGCAGAACGTGCCCTAGTCTTGCATCTTGGTTTTGTGTCCTCAAGTTGTGATATTTATCTGTTGCAGGATGCCTTTTATCGTCGCTGCGTTTGAATAATTCCATCACCAACACTAAAGTTTTGTGTATGCATATTAATGTATTTTTCGGCGAATATATTCTTTAAATACCTTTATGCTTATATGTACAAGAATGCGCCACTGGGTATTATGGCGTCAACTGTGACCAGTCCTGTGCTGCACGTCACTGCAAGATGGACTCCAGCTGTGATGTGACACAAGGGCGGTGTGTCGGTGGATGTGCGGCTGGATATCATGGAATAGACTGTAGACAAGGTAATATATCCCACTATTTTCCCACATATATATTAAATGCCCACTTTGTAAATCTGATACAGTTATTGTATCATATTTAAGTATCATGAACAGTGTTTTCATTGGGATGCCTTAAACAGACACTGCTCCTCTGTTTACATTTTATGTCTAGTTACAGGACATTTACAGTGAACAACACTTTGCAAGAAATGATTGTGGATGCATCATAAGAGGTGACTTATCATTGTATTCTAATTACATACACTGATGCTCATGATGTTAATCACTGGAATGCCTGGACCACACTCGATGATCTACGTCATGTACCTGGAACATTACGGAGAGCACCATTTAAACAACAAACCAAAATCAACAATTAGTTCATTAATGAAAATGATTTTCATACTTTGGTTGTTTAAACCATCGTTGTGTCCAAGAGCGTTTATATCGGTGCCCTTGGCTGGTAGATCAGGATACTGGTCAACGGAAGACAGGTGTTGAATTGACGACGACAGCAGCAATTGTCCTTGTAATTTGGTGAATAATGGTCAAAATGGTACAAATAATGGTAGTCACGTGATCTCCATCAACTGCCGTAGGTTGCTATGTGGACCGTGCTGGTCCCTCTTACTACGTCACAGTGAGAAGATAGTGGGGCTAGATATCGTAAATACGCAACTTATATCAACACGATAATTTTGGATGAATTATGGTGATTTCACGCCGCACACAACTATGTTCCGGCAATGTTTCGGTCTGGACCAGACAATCCGGTGAACAACAACATGAGTTACCTTTCTCTATTAATGTTAATTGTTGGGAAAACATCGATCAAGCTGAGACAGCTCTGGCTTCAGAAAGCCCTTGGTTTCATGGTTAGCCAAATAGCCCTGGCAGTTGTTAGGTTACATTATCATTTTGTGTTTTGCAGCTAGAAACTTTGTAATGTTAGTCGGCTGTAGATTGAGAAACAGGAGCATCACAAAGATCATGAATCCAGCGAGTCAGTGTAGCATTGGATACATATGGCCAAGTTACTTCAAAACTGAATTTGAACTCATAGTCAAATAGAATTGTATGTAGGATTTAAAGAAAGTTATATTATGAGTTTGAGAAAAATGGGTAACGGCCCATGCAGAGACGTAATTTGTTGTAACTATCCTATACTTCAGAAACCACTGGATATACGGCTACTGAAATTTATACAAGATCATAGCGTGTAGCACTGGGACGTACTTGAGAGCACCATAGAAAATGAAAATCTCCACGATAATGTTGTACGAAAACATATTTGTTACGTTCAACATAATAAACCTTTGATAACAACTTTTGTTACGGAATTGATATGCATCATTATTTTATCACCGATATAGGGTTTTATTTCATGTAGTTTATTGATACCTACCTGGGTGTCCCACTTCTTCTGCATCAGATCACGGATGTAAGTTCTAATGCTAGCTTTGTAATCAGAGCATGGGATAAGAAGTGGTGTCACAGATTTGTTGAGTGCTGCCTTAGCAACAAAATCAGCCAGTTTCTAGAAATACAAACATGGCTGGGTAACGAACAAAAGACGATGTCGCATTGGCAGTAGCAAGATCACTATGCAATTCAATCATTATCCCTCGCGACAACCATATAGAAACGAGTTCCGTCCGTCCGTCGTCCGTCACACTTTATCCAAAGCATATCTCCTAAACTACTGGTGATAGCTTAATCAAACTTGGACATGTCAATCATGATCCCTAGATGCGCCTTTTGCGGTTTATTTCTTGCGGTTTCCGTGGAAACGTGAATTAGGCTGTGAGGATGGCTTGTCCGGAGCAGATCTCTAAACTATACGTGCTGGCTTCATCAAACTTGGCACACATATCAAGCATGATCCCTAGATGATCCCCTTTGGGGGTTAGACCCAGATATGAAGTATATTTTTGTGGTTCCCTTGGAAACGTGACAGGCTGTGGCTATGAGGAGGATGTCATCTCGTCCGAGCAGATCTCCTCAATTATACATGCTAGCTTCATCTAAGTTGGTACACATATCCCTAGATGTGCCTTTTGGGGTTTAAACCCAGATATGAATTATAATTTTTGTGGTTTCCATTGAAACATGACTTAGGTTGTGACTATGAGGATGTCTTTTGTTGCATTTCCATGGCAACAAGTTAGGCTTCAACTGTTAGTTAGTGCTCCTCTCTGGAGCAGATCTTAAAAACCGTTCAATACTATCCTTCCACTTTGCTGTATACACTCCAAAACATTTGACATAATCATAACTAGTAGACATATTCATAAAGAGTATTTTGCCGTTGCGGGGATATTCATGACTTTGTCTTCTTGTTTCTATTAATAGTGGATGTTTACAAGAAAGATTCTTAATGGCCTGAAGGCATGAAAGAGAATCGGAAAAGATTATGCATTGTTTATATTTACGGTGTTTATTAATGTATTTAAGAGCTGTTAATATTGGCGTTAGCTTCTGCTGTGAAAATAGAACTGTTATTGGGCAATCAAGAAGATATTGTTTTGAATCCAATGACAGTGGCTGATGGGTTTAGAATGATAAGAGGTTGTGAAAATGGCAATTGACGAGGTGTTGGACCACAGGTTTGTGAATGTTCATCCGTCATAATTGCAGTTATATTCCAGTTCTGTGGTCCATTCGGTCACTTCTTTCCAGAGCCAAAGACACAGTTGCTGATCACATCGGTGGTCATTAATTTTGCGCAACAGTGAATGAGTTTCCCTTGAGTCATGTGATTCTCTTATATATTTAAGTTATCTCGTGGTGTATCGTCCAGATGAATGTAAGGCAGTAAGTAATTACTGGATTGAGACAATTTGACAAATTGGGCATCGGAATCAGATATAGATTCAGTGAATCGTGTTTAGGCGCTGACACCCTCATTATGTTCAAATATAACTTTTTATTATCCTCAGGAAAGATAGTGATGTGAAAAGAATGATTGCTGAATGCAAACCAGTGAAAAAGGAAAACTATTGTCATTGAGGAAGTCAGTGTATATTCCTTTCAATATATCTTTGTGTGCGTAAAGTAATATTTTTGGATTAAACTTTCGAATGTTTGTTGTTAGATTGGGTTGGAGTAGGTAACACCATAAAAGTCCGTGTTTTGTTGGCGACTAGAATTTTCCCATTTCTTATCATATCGTCATCATGAAGATAAAAACACTGTTTTCAACCAAAATATAAGCTGGATACATACTGCCTCTAAACTGCTAAACGCTTAAATTAGTGTTGATATGTTGAGAGGAATCTTATCTGCTATGTGGTATTCCAGACACAGTATACCAGGGGGATGTATGGCATCAACTAAAACTGTAGTGTTGATATGTTGAGATGAATCTTATCTGCCATGTGATATTCCACACAGTGTACCAGGGGACAGTATGGCATCAACTGTAAGTGGAGTATTGATATGTTGAGATGAATCTTATCTGCCATGTGATATTCAACGCAGAGTGTCCCAGGGAAAGTATGGCATCAACTGTAACTATAGTATCGATATGTTGAGATGACGCTTGTCTGCTATGGGATATTCCTCACAGGGTGTCCCAGGGAAAGTATGGTATCAACTGTAACTGAGGTGTTGATATGTTGAGATGACTCTTGTCTGCTATGGGATATTCCTCACAGAGTGTCCCAGGGAAAGTATGGTATCAACTGTAACTGTAGTGTTGTTATGTTGAGATTAATCTTATCTGCCATTTGATATTCCACACAGAGTGTCCCAGGGGAAATTAGGGCATCAACTGTAACTATAGTGTTGATATGTTGAGATGACTCTTTTGTCTGCTATGGGATATTCCTCACAGGGTGTCCCAGGGGAAAGTATGGTATCAACTGTAACTGAGGTGTTGATATGTTGAGATGACTCTTGTCTGCTATGGGATATTCCTCACAGGGTGTCCCAGGGGAAAGTATGGTATCAACTGTAACTGTAGTGTTGTTATGTTGAGATTAATCTTATCTGCCATTTGATATTCCACACAGAGTGTCCCAGGGGAAATTAGGGCATCAACTGTAACTATAGCGTTGATATGTTGAGATGACTCTTGTCTGCGTTATGGGATATTCACTCACAGGGTGTCCCAGGGGAAAGTATGGTATCAACTGTAACTGAGGTGTTGATATGTTGAGATGACTCTTGTCTGCTATGTGATATTCCTCACAGAGTGTCCCAGGGAAAAGTATGGCATCAACTGTGACTGTAGTGTTGAGATGAATCTTATCTGCAGTGTGATATTCTCACAGGGTGTCCCAGGGAAAGTAGGGCATCAACTGTAACTATAGTGTTGTTATGTTGAGATGAATCTTGTCTGCTATGGGATATTCCTTACAGGGTGTCCGAGGGAAAGTATGGTATCAACTGTAACTATAGTGTTGTTATGTTGAGATGAATCTTGTCTGCTATGGGATATTCCTCACAGGGTGTCCCAGGGGAAAGTGTTGTTATGGGATGAATCTTGTCTCAACTGTAACTATAGTGTCAACTGTTATGTTGTTAGATGAATCTTGTCTGCTATGGGATATTCCTCACAGGGTGTCCCACGGAGAAAGTAGGGCATCAACTGTAACTATAGTATGTTGAGTTGATCTTGTCTGCTATGGGATATCACAGGGTGTCCCAGGGGAAATTAGGGCATCAACTGTAACTCATATAGTGTTGTTATGGATGATCTGCGTCATACACACAGAGCGTCCCAGGGGAAAGTATGGTATCAACTATAGTGTTGAGGTGACTTATCTGTCTGTGGTATCCTTTGACTCTGTCTGACTGTGCTGACAACATCACATGCCATCACGTCACTAGAACCTGTACAGGTGGATGTCAGGCAGGGTGGAAACTCTATCCGTGTCAGACAGGTGAGTGTGGAGTGAGTGAGTGATATAAATCGTTACATCGGCAATATTTCAGCCATATCGTGACGAGAAAAATGTTATACACAGTAATTAATGGCAAATTACAGAAACCTGTCAACAAAGGACAGTAAAACAACAAGATTATCACAGATATATATTTTAAACCAGTAATTAAATCTAAAACAGTTCAAGTATAGATGACAATACAATATAAAAACGGGCTATAGATTGCCAACAACTGAAGGTAGATCACCATACTAGGGACCATGGGGACTTAGAGTATATTTGCTTCCTGCATGGACCCTAGCTTGATTTACACCATCCCTTCAGCTGCTAGCAATTTTAGATAATCTAGCCATAAATTAACGGAACATATATACTACGATTTAAAAGTAATAGTAGGTTTAAATTTACACTGAATGCGTTTGGACTTACGTACGGTGAGTGTGGAAGTCTATAAGTGAAAGGTAATAAACTTTGATCTCACAGACAAAATATTGATATGAGCTGTGTTTTGTATCTCTTTCATTTCTTGTAACTCAAACACGTTTGAAATGTCAGATCCGCTCCTACAAGTCACAACAACAGTCTAACCATGTGATGTGTAATGCCTGAAAATATATACAACTGTGTACTTGTTGCGTAGTTTGTGACAGTGGGAAATGCGGGTTGATCTGTGAGCGGGACTGCGGCCAGTGTAACGGGACGTGTGATGTTATTGATGGACGATGTCCCGGGGATGTACCGAGGGGTACAATGGCTCTAACTGCTCAGTGAAGCTTTGTACGTAGTTTTATTTACTTCATAACATTAAATAAATGGGTTGTACCTCCTTGATCATACGACAATCGTCTAAACAAAACAAATAAGCGGAACAAATGTATTTATGACAAATTACGATGAAAACATTTGTCATAGCTGGCATGTTCACTCACATTAGTTACGTCTGAATATGAAATACAACCTGTGATATTATTACCCTTCGTTGTTTTAGACCACGATCCCTGTTTAATACATGCAACATGTGTTATGTGAACGCATACTATGCAACTTGGACAAAGATTCATGCGTAATATGTGTTGAGACCTGGATATTGTACATGATTTCTATGCTGAGTGAAAGATTGAATCTCAAAGACTGACCATAACCAAAGTAGTTTTGATTTTTCAAAGGATTTGACTGACTTTACAAACTCAGAAAAGACTATCAAACCGTTTCATTTTTCAACTTTGCACACTGCTGTCGTACGTGGCAAATCTTCGTTACTTGTGTTACAAAACGCTGTGAGCATGGAGACATGATTATACATCTATATTTGGAAGTTTCATTCAAATTTTTCATGAAAGCAACTATGTTAAAAATACTTGTCTTCTGAAGTGTACTGAGAAGTTCCACACAGTCTATTCACAATCGAGTATAAGTTATAAATGCCAAAGTTATAAATGCCAAACGGAGGCATTCCATGGCGACAATTGTCTTCTATCGGATTATTTTCTTTGTACATTTGAATCGGAATTTCTGCTGTGACTGACATACTCGAAACAGGTTCTAGTGAGTGAGTGAGTGGGTTTTGTTTAATGCCGCTTTAAGCAATATTCCAGCAATATCACCAGAAAGTGGCTTCACACATTGTACTCATGCTGGCAATTGAATCCAGGTCATCAGCGTGACCATCGAATTCTTTACGCCCCTTACCAGTGCATAGATATCAAACTTAAACCAACTAACGTTATAACAAAACAGATTGTACTTTTCAAAAACCCTTCTTTAGAAAGCCGACCGCTCCGAGGTACATTATCCACCATAGCCACTAAACATCCTGACATACGTAACCACGAATGGTTTGTTATTGTTGTTGCCATGTCAGAAAAGCAATTAGCGTACATTTCCGCTAATCCTTTTCATCTGTGTTTTGTTTTTTAACTCAGCTGATAATTCCTTTTGCTGCACCTGCATGCATAGGCTATATAACATGTAGTACTATACCTGCTATAAGTTCACTAGATGACAAAAAAACGGGTAAAATCGTTCCCATTGCATGCACATTAATTTTACTACAGAATCTTTTAGGGAACTACGCTGTGTGGTTTTAAAATAATAGGTGATTAACCTAAATATCAGGTAAAACACAGAAATAGGGATCAAATTTTGATCGGTCATATACGATCAACGCGTCGGAAAAATCTGGAAAAAGCTTATAATTGATTTCTTGGAGTAATTTTATTACGGGAAATATAACCACCGTTCATATTGTTTCACTTTAGGTTGAGGAAATTTTGCCATGGTTGACAGCTGCCCAGTCCTGGGTCCGTCATTACGGTCGAGGTAGCATGTGCTGCCCACCTGGCAGTCAGATCATTATTACCAAAATTGTTGTCCTGAAAACCAAAGCGCTTTGATTTGGAAATGAATGAGGCCCTCGCGAGATGTGACGGATACTTCAAAAACAAACAATTTACAAAGCCACCCATTGCAGTTATCAGTTTCTTCCAAGCTTGTGAAGGTAAGCATCATTGGCGTGTTAACAATAGAAATGAAAAAACAAACCTAATTGACTACCCATAAGCCTTTATTTGAAATGTCGCCACTTTTGTTCAAACGTACACGCGCGAGCTTGAAAAAAAACTTCGTTGTTCTTTTCAAGTAAGTCTATGAGAGTAAGGTAGTAGAAATGGCAGTCTGTATACTTGCTATAGCTCTTTCTTTGACACATAGCAACAAACTTGACAATCGAAGCTTTGGAAACAAGGATCCGGGAACTCAAGCGATCTCAACGGAAACCCAAGACAGAGAAACTGGCAGGTAGGTTTCAGATAAAATTAATTTCATTTTCTTTTATCTAGCAGTCAGTTTGCATCGAATTAAACGTTTTCGGTGAATCTACATTGGGCAGCGCGCATTCTGATTTCTCCCACGGTTATTAATGTGGACATTGCATTTTGGTGTGAAATCTGTTAAAAACAACATTATTGTTGATAAATTTGTTTAAACATTCGCATAACCATAAGACAAGAATACCCCTGTGTTCCTGTACGTTGAGTCTGATGTTTATATACTCTTTACTTCTGCGGCAGCTCATTTTGTTGCTGGGCACAACCAACACCATAACCAAACATTTATTCCTTCAGTCATTTTTGTGGAGGTAATTTTGTCTCAGTATTATTCTTTCTGTCGGACTATTTCAATTATGCATCCAGCTACATTGGAACCGTGTACTGAGCGTATGTTTAGCTTTTTCACCTTCCAGGTTATTGATGGAATAAAATATATTTTAAGAAATTGTTATACATGTATCCGGTGCAAGGCAAATAAATATAGATGAAACCAGTAGTACATGATATTCCGGTGGAAAATATTACCAATCATATGCCCGCGATCCAAATGTGTGTCTCATTTTGTTTTAGCTATTGTGGAGAAGAAGAATCATGGAAAGTTCCCTGAGGGATACCTTGAAAATCCATTAAAGTTACTTTATTTAAGGTAAAAAACTTAATTCCCTAAGCTCTTTTATTATTGTCTCGTCATCATAATCAAGATATGTTTGGCTCATAAGATTTGTATAATGTATTTTAAAATGGACAATTAATCTGCTCTTGTCTACCATTGGGTAAATCTAGCATCCAATTATTCTCATTGTCAGGTATCTAGTGTAATTTCAGCAGAATTGACATAGCATACCATTATGTAGTGCATATTTGCTGCATAATCATGTCTGTCATGTTAATAGAAACTTCTACACTCCTCCAGTAATGCATTACTACCACAATTACTTATTAATTTGTTTTGATACAGATAATAATCAAATTTATGAATGTTTCTGTGTCGGATTGTAATAATCTATTATTGGACGAATGAAACCAATCTACTTCCTTTTCCTAATAGAAACCTTTGATAATCTGGAGGAGCAAGATTTGACGATCGACGTCGGCAGATTACAGGAAAGAAAAAACACAGGAAAGATGCTAAAAAGAAACAAAGAATCTGATCTGTAAGTTCCTGAAACTGGATTATATAATATCATTTGTACTGGTTTATACACTTCCTGGACACCAGTTTAAAACACCCTGAGTTTCACTGCTGACATGATGTGTGTGCCAAGCATATTATCACATCGCTATATACCTGTAATAGAATAATCCTTCCTTATCATCACATGTCATTACTTCCATCACCGTAATGTGCCATTATCTAATTAGAACAAGCTGCCTCAAGAATAAATGTTGGATTATTAACTTCGCAGTGCAAGAATTTCATTTTTTCCCTCTTTAACCACAAAGCTAACCCTAGAATTGATATCGCCACCGTAATTTGATCAGATAAGACGTTAACCTCACATATATCAGTAGGACATGTCTATTATCTGACATTACGCCAACCCTCCATAATAGTTATTTGAACAAACTACTACCATACACATTAATATCATTAACCCTTAGCCAGCCTGAATTAATTTCCAGCACCAGGTAACCATTGTGGTGATTTCAAACATGGTGGGGTTATAATTAAGGTACAACCAGAACCAATCATTTGCACATCAATATCAGATGAAAAATATAACATTATTATCGGAGCATTATCCAGATATGTTCAAACATACAGACGTTAAGGCCATATAATAATAATAACGCAATTTTAGCGCCTAGAATCCAACACGATACTTGCTCTCTGGCGTTACATTCTTACCCTGACGGGTGTAAATTTTCAAAGAAAAAATATAACATTATTAAGCTACTATACAATAAGCCTTCCAGCGCGACCGTATAGGTCCGTACATCCGCACATCCGCTTCTCAGGTACATTAATGGTTTGTTTTAAAAGTATTCATTGCTACGTTAAAACCGATTTCGACTCACCTATACAGAATAACTTCTCTTCCTTTATAGCATCACTGAGGGAATCGGATTCGGCAGTCACCCCTGTATTAGCTGGTGTGATCGGCTTGGTTGCTGGGATATGCCTCACAGTGCTTCTTGGAGTTGGACTATACACTGGCCTGGTAAGACAATGGAGGTAAGTAACCTTTAGCAACACTGTCGGGATGCTTTATATTATTTATGATGTACAATTCTTTCTGAATAACATGTACAACATACTAATTACTTTTCACTGTCGGCTTTGCAGATTGCAGTGGATAAACTCTTCTCAGAAGGATGAGATGAAAGTCAGGGCCACATCAACCCAAGCGGACAGGAACTCTACAGAGCCGTCAGACAACTACACATCCATATCCGAGCAGGCTTGTGGCCGCAGCATCTACAACAACGACTATTCTACACTGGACGTCGAGGCCAAGTCGAACAATGACTATGACGTCATTAAGAACAAGGCTTATGAAAATATGTAGAGAGCATATCGTAGTAACAGATTAGTTTAAATGTTAATGTAATTAAAATGCATCCACCGCATCCATAATAATATTTACAAAAAACCTTGCTGTCCCAATTGGTAACAGGCTGTGCACGATATTTATGTCGTCAATATTTGAACAGCTGACGGCTGTGAAGTCGCCTTAGATTTCATGTCCTGCAAGTTTGAGACAAAACAATGAGTTTGGAAGCCACATGAGGGGAATTTACATCGTGATCGTCCAGGTCCACGTTCTCTAACACGTTCCTATAAGTAATGCAAGCATGAACTTGTGGTCTGTAGGAAAAGAACATATTTGGCATTTAATGAAATCAAAAATATTTTGGCCCATTTTGGAAATGTTATTTTTGCCTCTTGATATTGCTTAACTTTAAAGGCGTCAATTCCCTAGCAGTCTTTGTCTGTTTCAACAATCTGCTCTACTTTGGATAAAGCCTTACTGTCTTGTCGATACCGTGGGCTTTGGTTGTTTGTAGATCCACCCATCAGCAAACTTTGGATAAACCTTACTGTCTTGTTGATACCGTGGGCTTTGGCTGTTTGTAGATCCACCCATCAGCAAACTTTGGATAAAGCCTACATCATCTTGTTAATACTGTGGGCTTTGGTTGTCTGTAGATCCACCCATCAGCAAACTTTGAGTAAAGCCTTACTGTCTTGTCGATTGGTTGTTTGTAGATCCACCCATCATCTTTGGATAAAGCCTCCTTAAACTTTTGTCGATACCGTAGGCTTTGGCTGTTTTGTAGATCCACCCATGTGCTAAAATTGGATCGATATCTTGTCGATGGGCTTTGCTTGTTTGTAGATCCACCCATCAGCAAACTTTGGATAAAGCCTTACTGTCTTGTCGATACCGTAGGCTTTGGCTGTTTGTAGATCCACCCATCAGCAAACTTTGATAAAGCCTTACTGTCTTGTCGATACCGTGGGCTTTGTCAGTTTGTTTGTAGATCCACCCATCAGCAAACTTTGGATAAAGCCTTTACCGTCTTGTCGATACCGTGGGCTTTGGTTGTTTGTAGATCCACCCATCAAGCAAACTTTGGATAAAGCCTTACTTGCCGATACCGTGGGCTTTGGTTGTTTTGTAGATCCACCCATCAGCAAACTTTGGATAAAGCCTTACCTGTCTTGTCGATACCGTAGGCTTTGGTTGTTTGTAGATCCACCCATCAGCAAACTTTGGATAAAGCCTTACTCGTCTTGTCGATACCGTGGGCTTTGGTTGTTTGTAGATCCACCCATCAGCAAACTTTGGATAAAGCCTTACTGTCTTGTCGATACCGTGGGCTTGGTTGTTTTGTAGATCCACCCATCAAATGCAAACTTTGGATAAAGCCTTACTGTCTTGTCGATACCGTAGGCTTTGGTTGTTTGTAGATCCACCCATCAGCAAACTTTTGATAAAGCCTTACTGTCTTGTCGATACCGTGGCTTCGGTTGTTTGTAGATCCACCCATCAGCAAACTTTGATAAAGCCTTACATCGTCTTGTCGAGGGCTTTGGTTGTTTGTAGATCCACCCATCAGCAGACTTTGGATAAAGCCTTACTGTCTTGTTGATACCGAGGGCCTTTATTGTTTGTAGATCCACCCCATCAGCAAACTTTGGATAAAGCCTCCACTGTCTTGTCGATACCGTGGGCTTTGGTTGTTTGTAGATCCACCCCATCAGCAAACTTTGCTGGGTGCGGTCAATTTCATTTAATTATCTAGAGAATTGTTTTGTTCTCACTTCTGTGCAGTTCGGGTGGTTCCTTCTTCGTCCTTCTTGCAGCCAAGGCTGCGTGGACGCCTCTGGTGTGCAAGTTGGCAGTTCGTTGGTTAGAAATACTGTCAACGTATTTTATTTTTGTCTTTACATCCATTTTATGGTGTACATAATAGTTGAATCCATTTTGTAAGGATGGCTACATTTAAGGTTATTATTGGAGATGTGTGGTCCCTTTGCATAGAGCTCAGGTCACAAATCAGGTTAAGCAGCGTTGGGTGCGGAGAGTCCTAAGATGGGTGACCGTGTGTGACAGCTTGACTCCTGAGAGTTTCTAGGACACCAGTCCTGGACCACAACGAAGCACATGTAATACATGTGGTCCCACCTGAGGCAAGTGAGTTTGTTCAAACTTGCCTCTGTTCATCCAGCAGAAACTGGCTACCCGGTGGCAGCTTGGGTTATCCGGGGTAATAATGATAAATCGTGCGCTTTGGAGCAGGATATCTAGCCTGGAAAAGGCGCATTATAAATCTTCTCATTATTATTAATGCCGGCATATTTTTATCTATTAACCTAATTTTTAAGATGCCTAGCTGTTAAAACAATCGAAAACCACATTATCAGACAACAAAGGTATAGTTTTTGATGACGTAACAATTGAATGACGTTATCCCGTCACAGCGCCATTCTAGTGTGCCCCTCGTAATCGAACCATTTTACATTACGTCACAATGTAAGAGACGTCACGATGCATGTCAGTTGTCATCGCCTCGTACGGCCTACTACAGTACATGAAATTTCTATCGTTTGAGCTGGGTGAATTAGATAGAAATTGATTTCTCTTTAGGGACAAACCAGATAAAAGGGGAGGTAATGCATGGTCTAGAGGGCGCTGTCAGATATGTCTATAAATGTGACGTCATAGCGCGGTAAGTTCATTCTCGGCTGCGACACCAGTACTGAACATATTGATTTGTGACACTTAAGGTGCTGCAAGAAGAGATGATAATGAGAAACACTGCTGCAGTGTTGTCATACCTACCTTGTAGGTGGAGAAGATGTTACAGTAGCATCTGATGTCTACAGTGATAATATGCGTACTTTTTTCTTCTAGGGTGCAAACGTAGAAACTGCCTTGCAGGAAGGTCAATCTGCTTGAATGAATGTTTGCGTGGAACAAGACGGTGAGGCGTAAATCATCACTGTGATGTGATGTACCGCGTACAGTTTGAATAAACGCCTCGGCAAGTGTCGCAGGGGACTTACACTGATGTTTGTTCTTTTATCTGGTTTGTGTTGGTGGTAGAAGGAGAAACTACTCCGTTGCATCCCGTTTCTTGGTTTGCAGTAGCTTCACTCAGCTAACATCACTGGTGGAAACATTACGTTTATGTTTTACGACGGTTAAAATGTGTCAATTCGACTCACAAGCTTTCAGCGACACGGTAACTCTCGTAATGTTTACATTCCCACAATGCACTATTCAGCTTCCTCTGGATGTACTGATCTAAACTTACGCTGGTAGTAGAAATGCAACGTTCATATTGCCCTATATGGTTTACGTTAATTACAGATGTAATTAAAATAATTCAGAGAAGATATTTAATCCGAACGTAAACCGTCATCAAACTGTTATCATTTGTTTTTCTGGTAACGTTCGTCTTAACGTGGGGGCACATATCAATAGAACAGCGCCCCAGTTAGCCCTGTGTGAGGATTCTGAATTTAGGTCACCGACACCGTCGTTTGTTGTCTGGCTTAAATTAATCGTAATTACCCTTAGAAAGTATTAAATTTTGCATCTTAGAAAGAAATACAGTTCGCTCTACCACCATGTATAGTGTAATAAAGCACACTTTCGCCCTCGACTATTATATCGTTAATGCATTCGGACGCAAGGGTCCTCGTACTTTAACTATAATAGTTCAGGGCAAAAGTGTGCTTTATTACACTATACATGGTGGTAGAGCGAACTGTATTTTAATTTCATGCACATTTTGGTTTGAATCAGAATTAAAATGATGGTAGACACAACTGAAAAACATTTGTTACCACTCGCTCTTTTCTCCAAGAAGACTTGTCACCCTCTTGATGCTTGCTGTGTGCGAAAATACGACAAACCAAACAAAAGGCGCGTAGTGATTGCGATGCTTTGTTTAACATAATCCCGAGTACGTAACTTGTTTTATGGTAATTTGTGAATGTTTCTTAAATCTTGAAAATGATATGTCTTCATTTTGAAAGTACAAATGACATAACTAATAGAATTGTATTGCCTCATGTGAAGTTAATAAAACAGAGCCATGAATGGTGAGAGATTCAAATTCACGCACGTGCGTTTCTTTATTTAACGGCTCACCAGGGCCCACTTGACCTTTTCTACCGATCTTGCGGGCATGTTTTTGTGATTGTACGTGCGCATTCCGAAGTTTTTTATTTGACATTTTTCAAATTTGAGTTATTTATCACTACGAGTTTCAAAACAATATATTTAACTTTAACTTAACCAATAAGGTTTGATTTAACATTGGGTTTACACTTCCCATATATTCTAGTGTGACGTTTCTAAGGGTCATTCATATTTCATGTCATATAACAAACAAACAAACAAATAAATAAATAATGTACGAGTGACTCGGTGATATTAAGTACTATTGCAATGAAACAGGAAAATAGTGCTTGTTTGAAGTAGTTCCAATATTCATACGCCAATATGAAATCCTTCTAGAGAGGCACGAGTCGCTAAATGTGTTCAGTCAATTTTATAACATTGAAAGCCACAGTAAAACTCTCGCACAGGTTTATGGTAGAAAACCGATGTCCGATGCAGTTCCAAATTTTGACTTTGTGCCATATATTTATGCGTATTTTCAGTGAGTGAGTGAGTGAGTGAGTTAATATTGAACGTCACATCGGCAATATTTCAGCCATATAGTGACGAGAAATGTTTTATGTAAATAATGCGTATTTTCAGAACAACTGACTTCTTTGAGTGGCATTTTAGTAGTTGGAAGTCAGATAGAACAAGTATATATGGATGACAACTTTAATTCTTGATCACGACGTTTCGATACAGGTTATTGTATATTCATACTTGAAAACGATACAAGAACCTATATCGAAACGTCGTGCTCAAGAATGATAGAAAGTTGTCATCCATAAATACTTTGTTCTATCTAGGAGAACAACTGCCTTTGCATGCTTTTGTTTTGACGGACGCCATCGGTGGGTCAGGATAGTCTCACCTTTCGCGAATAGCTGCATCATCACTATTTCATAGTGATTCATAAACATATAACTCATGACATAGTCGATTGTGCTTTCAGTGTTGATTTGCTGGTTGCAAGAACTGATTGCAGTTGATTGTAATAGACAACATTCAAT